ATCTATCTATCTATCTATCATCCACCCACCTGTTTACTTTTTTATACTCTCTGCATGTGCTCAGCAAGTTGCTGACAGCTCTTGTTCGGAGAGGTAACGTGGAGGCGAGCGGAGGAATATGCATACTAAAAAAGAGAAGAGAAGCATTTGTGCTGACTTCGCTGTGTGCCGTACGGCTGTTCCTCTCATGACAGGGCTGCTTCTCTCGGTGATGTGCAGCTGCAGCATTTTAAAGTGGTCAGGACTGACTTTGCAGTTCGTGGGGGGGGGGGGGTGTCACTGTGAGTCACTCGGGCCTCTGGCAATGAACTCGGTGATGACTATTAGATCAGAGGTGATGTCATAGCCAGGCGAACTGTAGAAATTCAGTATGTGTCAGATCCACCCTGGTAAGTAATTGCCACCTAGCCCGAGTGGCTGACATGCCACCCTTGATAGCGCCGTGATTGACAGAGAGGGCAGAGTTAAAAAAAAATGAATTAATGAGTGAGGCTGAATGAGACAGTGTGACACACTTTGAGTGATTGACAGGCAGGCTAATTCAGAGTGGCGTCGGTTTAAGGGTGGAGGTAAACATTTCTGCTTTGCGCCACAAGAGGAAGTGAAAATCCAAAATGAAATCAATTGTCGTCGATTATAAACACATCTGTGGCAGAACCAGGACAGTTTATTTAGTTGTGTATGCATGTGTGTGTGTGTGTGTGTGTGGCTCCAAGACCCCAAAATGTGATTGTGTCATGGTGAATAACCTCAAATAGGTGTGAAAATAATCTAATCAAAACAAATTGCTGGCAGTGTTTTGCCCAGGAGCAAATCATTTCTTATACCCCGTTGCCAAGCAACAATGAAATCTTGATTTTTATGTACAAGGCTTTTGAAGCCAAAAATGATGAGTGACTCGAAGCTAAAAGCAACAGAGGGTAGAGATGGAACTCAACACCGTACAAAACAGAGCGATGGGCTGCCGATAGTTCGCCATGAATCTAATGAACAGAAAAACTTTCTCCTTAATTGTTTCTCTAATTGGTTTTGCCCTACATTTTACTGGTTACAGCCAAAGTAACAGAAAACAAGAGAGCTGGCCCTAAGGCACATTAATATATGCTTTAAAACACACCCTGATTTATTCATTTGTATGTGTGGTGTGTTAAGTCTGAGAATATCTGCTTGAATTAGTATGGAAAGTAGCAAGGGAGTGCAAGTGGGAGAGAAAGAGAGAGAGAAAGATAAATAGAGAAAAAGCAGAGGACGATAGAGGGAGGCTGAGACACCAGCACAAAAGGGGAACAGGGAGAAAGCAGAAGTGATATCACAGTCCTTGCAAGTTGCACATTCTAATCGAGGAGGGGAAGAGAAAGTAGGTGAGTGGGAGAGGTTGGCCGGTGGAGTGGAGCAGGCATCCAACTAGCAGGATTAGGTGAAGCAGAGTGACACAGGAGCAGGACCTTACAGTTGGGAGTCTCTCCATGGACTGAACGGCCGGGAGCTCAGAGTGACCCTCTGCAACTGTGCTTTTTTTCCCCCCCTTGCATCTCAAGCTGAGTCGCCACTAACGGAGGCATAACTCTACACGCAGATACACACATTACACACTGAAGCTATGGGGACAGTAAGTGAACTTTGCGTGTCCAGCCTTCAGACGTTCTTGTGTCCAGCTGTGAAGGCGCACCAAGAAGCTCCAGGTAGAGTAAAGTCACAACTGTGGGCCTTTCTATAATAAGATATTCCTTTATTTATTCCTTTATTTTTTTTTTTCCTATATTTTTTATCTATTTTTTAATGCATGATGCATCGTTTTTTTGTTGGTCGGTTGGTGTTGTAGCATATCCGCAATGCTGTAACTCTGCGACAAAAATGCTTGTCATTTTAAGCCGTCATCCCCGTTGAGTTTCGAATGAGTTCTCGTGAGTTTCGAAAGAAAGAAACCTGTTGATCCACTGTGTGTGTGTATGACCACTGGCACTAACACATGCATCCACCAGATAGTGATAACAGAAATAGAGGGAGCTCTTTGTGGCTAAGGAGGCTCTCTCATTAAGCACGACTTAAACCTCTATGCGCACACATGCTGAGAAGAGAGCAAGCTAATGTTATTACCTACTGAGCAGATCTAATCTCCAGCACGTCTCACGCACATCCACTGCCAACCTAATTTGAAATGATGACTCCACATCCTCGTTCGCGCATATAGCAGATCCACATGATGTATGACAACACTGAAACCTCAGGGAAAAACACAGCCACACAGGATGGGACGCTCGTCAACGTCCCTTCTTGTCCCTGTTACAAGTCGCTGGGTCTTTCGATAAAGGGGACGACAACAGTGTCGCGTTTACTGGAGATTGCCTCCTAAACCTGGGTAAACAAACTCTTGGTGCTTTCCCAGTTCAATTACAGATGGAGGAGCAGGCAGAAGTGGAACTGGCTAAGACGTTAGCCTCTTTGAGAGTTCTTTTTTTAATGCTCACCATCTGTCACCATGTTCCCACATTTGTCCTTTCATGCTGTAGTGATAATACCGAGATCTGAATTATGTTGGAGCTCACGTATGTGTGGTCTGTTGTGTAGGGTTGCGACTGCACTATACTAGAGTGCAGGTTGGGAGTGTTTAAAACACTGTTGATGTGACTAAAGCGGCTTTGCTGGGTTGTGGTGAATCAGCTGACTGAGTGTGTACCAAGGGGAAGCGGTGCTGCCTCAGTGATTTCAAAACACCTGAATCAGCAACACGGACCTGCGTGAAAAGAAGGGACTATATTCATTTTGAATATTCAAGGGGGAAGTAATGTGGATTGTTCTGGTATGAAGAACATTACAACAGCAGCAGAGTTTCACAGATTTTTTGTCAAGTAAACAAAAATGACTTTGACATATGGGGTAGAAGGGAAAAGAAAGTTATAACTAACACCGGTTTTGTAATTTGAATATTCAGCCATTTGTTGGCTGAAAACAATGTACTTCCAAAGGCTTAATTTCAGCTGTCACCCGCCTGCAAGTGTTAGTTTCTTGCTTAAACTGTAAAAAAAAAAAAAGCCATTGCATTTGGGCGGTGTTCTGTATGTGTTGGTGTTTCTGTTTTTGACCATGATTCATGCAAGTGAATCATGCGTGACTCATCTAATGTTGTCCAGCAAGTTCACATTGTATCAGCAGCGCTATTAAATCGCTCCTAAAATATAGCCAAATGCCGTTTAACGTGAGGTGTTGAAAAGAACGAGAGCGAACATGAGAGAGAAGTTTAAAAAAAAAAAAAAAAAAAACTGGCTGACCTCATGGAGTGATGTCTTGCTTCCCAAAATCTTGATGCATCTTCTCAGTCCCCCTTTGCATCTAAATGAAATAAGCACACATGGACAGTGTTATGTCAGTGCCCTTTCCGACTGTAAATGTTACTGTGAGTCTAACACTTACAGTCACTGTGAGTGTGATGCCCAGTTAATCTTCACAGGACACAGCCTGGGACTGACGGGCAGTGTATCGCTTAAAGCGGACGTGGTAATTTAGCTGATTAATATCAGCATAGTTACAAAGGGCCCGCCTGCGCAATGAGCCAGGTGTGCCCGGGCTTTGCCTTGGTTTTCTGACGTGGGAATTATTACTTGTGTGGGCTTTAGGCAGCTGAGGACAAAGTGATCTCGTTGGGAGCGCGAACAAGCCCATCAGCGGCAGCGAGAGTGTTCGAGAATGTTTGCCAAGTCAGCTTGTTGAAAAGGAGGGTACGGTGCAGTAGGAGAGGGGGGGTGGTGCTAATGTGAAAGTTCCCAACCTTTTTGGCTTGTGGCCCCTTAACACTTAACACTGTTCTGGTTGCGGTCCTGGAGATCTTGGGCCTCTTCGACAGCTCAAAAAACAGACTTTTTTCAGCTCGGTACAAAATGATTCTTCCTAATTTTAGAATATTGTGTATAAACATGATTTTGAATTGATAACTTGTTTCAGAAATCTATACCTCTGTTTGGGATCTCAGACACCTAACTGTAAAACATAATTAAATACACTCTATGTCTGTATATTTTATAGCCTCGCAGTGACATATGTTGAATCAAGATTGCCATACTGTGTTTTTACACTGTTCCTGTCATGTTGTGAGGTGCTGGTGCCTTTAACCAGCTATCTTAGGAGTCATTGGGTGCTGCTCTGTTCAAAAACTGCAGGTTGTCAAAATGTCTTTGTGCCAATGCAGCTCAGTTTCCTCTTGCATAATGAAACTTGTGCACACGAAGGAAACAGTGTGCAGGTTCATAGGTGTGGTGCACTAATGGCAGGTATGTGTGGTTGCTGTGGTTATGGGTGTCATCTACACACTTGGTTTGTCCTTAGCAGAGTGATTGACGTAAATATAGTCGCTTAAGGTCAGTAGAAGCGGCTATATTTACGGCAAGAAGTTGTTTTTCTTCTGTATGCTGTCACTCTGCCCATGTGATAAGACAGGTTTACTCCAGCACTAAACTGCTCTCACGTTCAAAGCACATTCGAGGAAAAATCAAAGCAGCAGCAGCAGCGAAATCTCAGTGGACTTAAGCAGGCTTATTCCTTCTAAAATCAAAAGACAAAGAGGAGGAAGTTGCTCAAAGTCAAAGCAACTTGTGCTGCAGTTGTTCTTCTTACTTAACCATGTAAGAGTCATTATCCCTTTGTTTTCCATCATTAAACATTCGTCATTTAGCACCCGTCATGAAGAGATGTAGATAAAGAGAAGCACACGAAGGCAGGGTAAAAAAAGCGTTGAGACAGTGCTAAGGAAAGTTGGTGCTGCCACTTAGAATCAGGAAGCTGTTATTTAGTGCATTCAATCTATATTTAACCTGTTAAGCTTTATTCTGGTGAGTATTCAGTTGAGTTGTACCAGCAGAGGCGCTTGTTCTGCTCCCACCCAGCCAGTTGTTAGTCAGTGGAGGTGATATGTGCTATGTAGGAGTTCCACCAACACAGATCAGTGAGCTCTCTGTAGGTTTTATATCCAGCTGGGGGAAATGCTTTCATCACACAGAAGAATTGTCTACCTTCCTGAGAAACGTACAAGTGATTTTCATCAGAATCTCCTAGTAGATTGTCTGCTGAGGCAACTGATGGTTTTCTACGTGTAATATTTGTACATCAGTGTCCCAGCCTACGTGCATTTCATAGATGAATTAAAGCTGAATCTGCTGTGTGACTAACTCCACTTCTGTTGTCCTTGTTTGGTCTTGTTTAGTGAACTAAGAATAAATATGTAACACAGTTAAATCCACTTTACGTCTGTGATTTATGGTAGAAGTACTTTTTATGCAGCAATACCTCTCCAAAATTTCCAAATAACTTAACCCGAATTTCAGTTTTTGTAGTTTTATAAGAGGCCCAACAGAGAGTTTGACGTCTCAGTTGAGCCTTAACATAAATAACATCACTTTGTACCATAATATGTGGCATAAAACTGGACATTTCTTTGTCTGTGAAAGACTGAGAAAATATAATATAAATATGTCCATGTGAAGGCTGTATAATTGTTATCTTCATCCAGCGTATCACTAGTTATGCGTTGGTGCACAGCTGCTAAACACACTTCCAGTAAAAGTTGAAGACAGCTGATTTCCTTTGTGCTTTTTACTGGAAGCAGTTCGACAACAACGACAGCGATTACAAATCAGAAAACAATAAGATTCCGCAAACAAGAATTAGACCATAAAGTTTAAAAAATGAATTAGTACAGTAGCGAGGAAATTTGATTCACAAAAGTATCAAATTAGTTAAATAAAATATCACCAGTGAAAGATCAATTTGAATTGTTCCAAAGGTAATTCAGATGCATTACACATTAGCTCCATCTAGCTATAGCCAGCTAATATAGTGGCCAGCTTGGTCAGTAAGATAAATAGGAAAACAAAATTCTAGTAAATCATAAAATGACAGTTTCAAAAAACAGCTGTAATAAAAAAAGAGTATGTACAGATAATGATCCGACAAGGGCATTTGAGGAGTAGATAAAGTCACAAATCTGACTAAATGGTGGATGCAACGGTGTCAGTTACGCAACCGCTACAGAACGGTTGCCAGTAGTGGTTGCTAGTAGCAACAGGATGTTCCACTGACACTGGCAGAGCAATGGAAAGCACGAAACGTCTTACATCTTTATTTTTTGTAATTACAATGCTTCATGGCCGTTCCATGTGGGTTCTGTGGGGCCCCAAACAATAACATAAAAATCTACTAAAGTGAAATCTACTTGCTACCCGTTGTCGCAGGTTGCGTCAGTGAGCTGTGAGTGATTTGTCAGTTGGTTTTTCCAATTAATTTTAGTGTCGTGAGAGGCGAAACTGTACAGTATTTATAACAAAAAAATAATCATTTCTAATTTTTGCATCAGAAATATGTTTTTTTTTCTTACTCTTACAAGATGGGAGCCACTGCTTTATGGGCTGCAAAACTTCCAACTTTGTATGATGATAATTGATCAGTAAGCTCCTGTGCATATTTGCATGAAAGAAGATCATAATGTTAATATTTTACCAGACAGATGACATGTGCACTTTGCTTCTTGACCTTAGGTGAGACCGAACTGTATTCCACTGGTAAAACACAGTTTGACGTGTTTTGGATGCTGAAGGAGACAGACTGCCAGGGGACTGCTTCAAAGAGGACTGTGTGGGAATCAGAGGCAGATGAAATCAACATAGCCAAATAAGATATTTCTGGTAGCATAGGA